CAACTTCTTTAAATTACAAAACAGAGGTATGAAACTCGGTTGAGAACCATCTTCTCACCAAACTCGAGCAATGTCTTCCGTTGCGGGTACCAGTCTCTCTCAAACCTAATCTCCCTCCGATTATCAAAACTTCAAAGTCGATTTTAACTCCCGGGTAAGAGCTATTTATCTTGTTTATTCTATATCTTGCATTAACTAAAATACGGCTTCTTTTCCTCGTCACTACATCGTGCATGCGTAATCATTTTTTTTTTTTTTTTGATATTTCAATCACAGATGCAACTAGCGAAGCGTCGGGAATTACAACAAGAGAAGGCAAAAATGTCACTTTACCATGTAAGACGTCCAACGGCCAATCTGGAATCTGGTACAAGACTGTTTGGTTTAAAGGCTTAGATAGAGTGATTTTTATCGGAAATGGAGGCCACTTTATCATATACTCTCAAAGGAAACACCCAATAACTGTGGTTGACAAGGAATCCATTCGTCTCGACTATGTTGATCGTTATGATCACGGAAATTACTCGTGCAGAGCGCTGTATTTAGACGGAAGTGATCTTAAAAACGTTCAACAAAACGTGACACTTCTTGTGAAAGGTTAGTTCTTTTATCTTGCTAGCCGCAAGTCATAATATCAAAATAAACGTTTTCGCTAGTTTGGCTAGTTTGTGATTATTTATCAATAAAATAATTTACTTTTAGTAGTAAAAAGTCATCAAATTACAAAACTGATCGAAAAAAAGCCTCACAAAACAACTGTAGCATTTTATATAACCAGGAATTTATAGATTCCTTGTGTGATTATTGTAAACCAAAACCAAATTTATTATAACAGGCCAAACAGATCAAAGGTAGATTATTGCCAGTTGGAAACGAGAACCCCTAACAAAATAAAGCTAGGTGGTTGTAACATGGAAAATCCGTCGCAAATTATAAAGTTGAGATTTGTGTCAATTTTGCCTCTTATTGTCTAATTGTTTGGCGCAATTGTTCACGTCCAATAAGAGTGCAGTGAAGCTAAGGCGGTGAAAGTCTGGACTACAATGAACATTCAGTTGAAAATTGCAATTATGGTCAATCGATAGGCCATTCCTACTTTTAACATGTCAGCGGTATCTTTCAGCTCGTCCACTGATAAGCACCAAAAGCCCAAGAATTCAAAACCTGACCCATAATGCATCAAAACCAAACTTGGCACTTGACTGCACCGTCAATGCATTCCCTAAAGCTGATGCGACGTGGCAGAAAATTGATGGACAGCTGCCAAAGAGCAGGATTAAACAGGAAAGCAATGGGACTTTGGTGATACATGAAGCTTCTGCAGAGGACAGTGGAACATATCAATGTTCAGCGGTCAACGAACTTGGAAGAGACCAGTTGAATTTCACTGTCGCCGTTTTTGGTATGATAGAGCATCTTAAGCTTATTTATTTACCTGTCAGTCCATGCATTACGAATAGCCGTTTTTCATCTGTTTCATGCAGTTTGGAAATTCAAAACTAATTGTAAGGACGCTATACATGAAGTAGTTCACTAAGTTAGTAATGTATCCATAAAATTTTTTTGCATATGTGAATTTAAGCGATCTTCCTGATGGAATCAAAATTTTTTTCTCTTGAAGGAAATCGTACCTAGTTCATTTTGACTTGAAAATTGATGAAAATGTCTTTTTCGGATTCTTATCAGCTCGGGTTTGAACACAAAATGTGCTCTACATTTATATCCTCTTTTGTAAGGCAAGACGGACTCTATCGTTTATACCAAACAAAAGTCGTTCATGTTTTTCGTTTCCTCCGTTTTCGTTTTCAGAACCACCTCGAATATTCGGGAAAAAAAAGTTCCACGCTAACGTGGACGAAACAGCCGAGTTGATTTGTGAGTCGCGCGGAAATCCTA